CCGGCAATGTGAGACCTCCTACTTTGTTTTTCTTCTTCAGTAGTGCTTTGCTTATCCGAGGTCTCTTTCCTTTCCATATAAAGTTAGTGATTATTGCATTTATTTTTAGTTAGAATTTTCCTATGAAAGGATAATTTAAAATTTTTTTTTAGATGAAGATAAGAAACCAGTTTATGTGATTACAACATTGGATAACACCATGGAAGATCTGTTAACCCTGGAATATGTGAAGGTAAGCAGTTCCAGTTATAGCTGCTTAATATAGCTAATGTGCTGCTGAAATAGTGTAATCAAGTTTTGTAAGTTTAGTAATATTCTACATTACTTTAAATTTATTGTATCTTTATTCTAATGTGGTCCCTGTAACTCCTAAAACTGTAAAAGTTTTTTGTTTTTTGGTATCATTTTCCTCTAATAACATTTCTGTGTTCTAAGTAGAAATTACCTGCTGTTTGATTTTTTCCTATCAGTATATTTAAAAGGAAAAATACATTTTAGTCTTGATAGAATTTATTGTGGTATATGATGTGAGATAGATGAGACTTTCCCTTAAAGTTACCTGATTTTCCTACTGCATGCATTCTTTTCCTATTGATTTATGATACCCATTTTTATTATATATTAAGTTTTACTATGTCTATTTCTGATTTATTTCATTTTCTGTGGACCTATTTTTATGTACCATATTATTTTAATAATTTGGGCAATCCTACTTCCGTAGTGATACTGCCTAGGAAACCCAAGGAGGGGTCGCTATGAGTCGGGGCTGACTCAACGGCACATAACAACAACAACAACAACAACAATATGCATAATGATAAAAGCATTTTATCACTTTTAAGATCATTTTCACTATTAAGTAGTAATTAGATAAATACTGGATAGCTCTGGTTCAATGGCTAAGTGCTTGTCTGCTAACTGAAGAGCTGGCAGTTTGAATCCATTAGCTGCTCCACAGTAAGATGTGGCAGTTTGCTCCTCTAAAGATTTATACAGCCTTGGAAACCCTATGGGGCAGTTCTGCTCTCTCCTGCAGGGTTGCTATGAGCCAAAATTGACCTGACAGCAATGGATTTGGTTTTTGGTTTTATGCATTAAATGACTTTTAGATTACAAAAGATTTCTAAATCTGAAGAAAACATGGAATATTTGGATACTTGGTTTACAATCCTATCACAGATTTTGTTTTCAAATATAGGAAGAATTAGGAAGGACTTTACAGATTTGTTGGTGACTGAATGTTTATTTTCACACTTGATAAAATTTGTTATTTCCACTCTTGATGATAAGAATGATAACATATAACATTTATTCAATATTGGCTATATGCTAGGCAATCTTATACTACCAAATTTCTTCTATTCTGGTGAAACAGTTATTTGTTTAAGTAAATATATATATGTATATACACACACACACATAACTGGAAAATTAATATAAATACATATTAAGCCATCATGTAGGTGTATATACATATGTTTTCCTAAGATGCTATAACAGATTTGTTTTCTCCTTGAATAGGCAGAAAAGAATGTACCAGACTTGAAGAGTTCCTATAACAATGTTGTGCAACTGCTCAAGGTAGAAATGAACAATAATTTACTTTTAGTTAGATAGTGCAGTCTTTTTTGTAAGTAGGTGTATCATTCCCTACTTAGAATTGTAAGATCCTTAAGGATGCAAACAGAATATTATATATTGTATCCTTTATATCACGAAGCATTGTGTCTTATACAGAGCAGGCAGGCAAATCTTATTGCTCTATTACTAAGATTAGCTTTATTCTTCAGGTGAATTTCTCTTCTTTGGATATTCATTTACATACTGAAGCACTTCTGAATACCATGAATTATTTTAATAATATCCTGCCACAATCAAAGGAAAAACCAACCTCAGTTCATATTGCGGAGAATGAAGACAAAGGAGTTGTCATTAAAAAAATATGTATGTGTCTTTAACTTTAGATATTTTTACCAACTATAGCAATAAATTTAGGATCTGGCTTTTTTATTAACTTAAGGCTGGATGTTCAAACCCACCAGCCACTCCTTGGAAGGATGACTGGGCAATCTACTTCCATAGAGATACTGCCTCGGAAACCCAAGGAGGGGTCACTATGAGTTGGGTTCAACTCGATGGCAGTGAGAGAGAGAGAGACTAAAATATAGATGGATTCATTAGAGACAAGATTAATTCTAGAAAATAAGAGTAAAGGAAACTAACTGCTGTTGAAGAAAATGTCACTTTTATTTGTCATGTTATTAGTTTTAGTTGGAGATTATATGGTAGAAATAGTTTATTTACAGTAAAATTCATGCATTCAAAATAATTGTTTTAGATTAAAAAATGTGACTAACAAAATTTAAGTTGTATCAGTACTTTTTAAAAAGTCAGACTACTTAAGCGGTAAAAAGTTACAAGTTTGGTAATTTCAGGTTCACCTAGTAGTCACTAAATCTCAGAAGATTTATGATTTTAACTTCATTTTTTTCCCATTGTACGAATATATCACAGTTTATTAATTCTCTTGCTGATGGAAATTGAGATTATTTTCAATTTCTCTGTTACAAAAATGTTGTTGCTGCTGTTCCTGTCAAGTTACTTCTGACTCATAGTGACTGTGTACAATAGAACAAAACGTCTGGTCCTGCACACCATCCTTATGATCATTGTTGTACTTGTGACTGTTAATGCACCTACCGTATCAGTCCATCATACTAGAAACACTCTTGTACATGTCTGCTTATTTTCATAGACTAGTGTTTCTTTAAGGGAGTAGAAATACTGGTTGTGGAATTTCTACATCTCCAGCTTTACTGTATTTTGCTACATCATTCTTCAATGTGATTATTAGCTACAATTTCTTATTTTCAAATGTTTAGTTTCACCTAGGAACAGTGTTTTCTTTAGTCTGCTTTTTTGATTTTGTTTGGCTTTGTTTACATTACATTTGGTTGTTTTTTAGAATTCCCCATTTGGTAGGGAATATCTTATTTGCTTCCAATTGCATTGAAAATCAGGTTTTTTCTACTAGTATCATTATTATTTGATAGGATATTTCAGTTACTATATAAGTGTAGTCAGGTAACTACTAGGAGCTCTGGTGGCGTAGTGCCTAAGGCATTTGACTGTTAACTAGAAGGCTGGCAGTTTAAACCCACCAACCACTCTTTGGAAGGAAGATTGGTCAATCTACTTCTTTAGAGATACCACCTCGGAAACCCAAGGAGGGGGGTCACTTGATGGCAGTGAGTTTGGTTTGTTTTTGGTTTGAAAGTAACTACTAAAAGTTTTTGCTTTTGTTTTGCAATATGATTTTTTTTTGTGTGTGTGTTTTGTAGCTTCTAAACTATCCAGGGATGAAGATATTATTACCTTGCAGATTTTAGCAGAATTATCATGTTTACGGATTTTTATTCAAGATCAGAAACATAAAATTTCTGAAATTAAGATTGAAGGTAATAAAATTTCAGAAAAAAATGAGTTCAGAAATATTAAATGAAAGAAAAAACATCTAATAATCCTTTTCTTCCTGTAGGACTTGATTCTGAAATGATTATGAGACCTACAGAAACTGAAATAAATGCAAAGCTAAGAAATATAATAGTTTTGGATTCTGATGTAATGGCTGTATACAAAAAGGTATGAATTTATTTTTATTAACTACTGTCATGTTGATAGGTACTGTTGAGTCACTTTCTACTCATAGTGACCCCATGTACAACAGAATGAAACACTGCCTGGTGCTCTGCCATCCTCATGATTGTTGCTGCATTTGGGCCCATTGTTGTAGCCACTGTGTCAGTCCATCTCTTCTTCTTTTTCACTGGCCCTGTGCTTTACCGAACACGGTGGCTTCTCCAAGGGCTGATTGATGCCTCTGCTGACATGTTCAGAGCACGTAAGGTGAACTCTTACCGTTCTTGCTCCAAAGGACCGTTTTGGCTGTGCATCTTCCAACACTCATTTGTTCATTCTTCTGGTAGTCCGTGTTGTATTCAGTATTCTTTCCCAACTCCATCATTCAGATGCATCAGTTCTTGTTCAGTCTTCCTTATTCGTTGTCCAGCTTTCACATAAATGTGAGGCAATTGAAAATACCATGGCTTGGGTTAGGTGCTTTTTAGTCCCAAAGTGACATCTTTGTTTTTTTAACATTTTAAAGCAATGTTTTGAACCACATTTGCCCAATGCAATATGTCATTTGATTCCTTGAGTGCTGCTTCCATGGGCATTGATGTAGAGCCAAGTGAAATGAAATCCTTGACACATTTTTTGCATTTATCATGATGTTGCTTATTGGTCCAGTTGTGAAGATATTTTCTTTATGTTGAGATGTAATCCATACTGAAGGCTATAGACTTTTATCTTCTTCTGTAAGTACTTCAAGTCCTCTTCACCTTCAGCTGGAAAAGTTGTATCATCTGCATAGCGATCCTGATGCCATGTTTTTCCTCCTATAATCAAGCTTCTTGGATTATTTGCTCAGCATACAGATTAAATAAAGACGGTGAAAGGAAACAACGCTGATGCACACCTTTCCTGATTTTAAACCATGCAGTATCCCCTTGTTCTATTCTAACTACTGCCTCTTGGTCTATGTACAGGTTATGCATGAGCATAGTTAAGTCTTCTTATTAATTAATAATCCTGTGATTAATACTTGTTAATTCTATGTAGCTAGGTACACAAATATTTCTGCCTATTTCTACTTCTCTGTCTATGATATCAGGGTATTATTGAATTCATAAAGTTAGGAAGTATTTTTCTCTGTTTTTCCAAAGATTTGTGTAGAATTGGTATTTTTCCTCAAATGTTTGATAGAAATAAGGCAGTGAAGCCATTTGACACAGATTTTTGTTTGTTTGTTTACAGAGCAAATTCATTTTCTATACAATAATTCATACATACTTTGTTTCATGACATTGACTGTAATCTCCATAATGTAACAGCTCTCTTCCTACTTCTTCCCCATGGTTACCTTTTCCCTGCGTCCTTCTTTCCTAAGCATTCCTGCCCTCCCTGTGAAAATACTGCCGTTCTGATCTCCCATGGTTGATCATTATAAGGAGTGAATCTACCTGGTGTAATTGTTCACCTTATACACCTGTCTATTGTTTGGCTGGAAGCCATGTGAGTGAGCTCAATTCCAAGACTGAAGGTTGACTAGAGACCAGAGTCTTGGGGGTGTCATCAGTCTATCATACCAGTAAGCCTGGTCTTTTTTTTTTTTTTTCATATTTAACTGGGCATTTTTTATTTTTTTCTTTATTTTTTTGTTATTGTAATTTGGGTGAAGGTTTACAGAGCAAATTCACTTTCCATCCATACAGTGGTTCACATGTACTTTGTCTCATGACATTGACCACAGTTTACCACAATGCAACAGCTCCCCTCCCACTTCCTCCCCATAGTTACCTCTTCCCTGTGTCCATC